TAGCCATTGGACGGTTTAACAACATCTATAATTTACATCAATTGACCAATCTGACAGCACTAAAGATCGGTTTAGGGTATGAATCGAATGTCGCTGATATGGAGCTGTTGGCAAACAGTCTTGTGAAACTTGAACGTCTTTATATTAAAAATTATAAAAGCGTCGATTTCATTTTGCCATTCGTTTGTCACTCGTTGAAGTTGAACAAAATTAAAGTGAATTCATCGTTTTACAACGATGGAGCTATGAATTTGAAAATGTTGAATGAAGAACGCACCAAGTTGGCCGGAGCACGAAAAGTACTGATTTATGCAACTGACGACATTTTCTTGTCCACCAAATGGGAGACCAAAAACGGCGACACCAATTTGAACTTAATCGAGATTCGACGTTGGGCCTTGCGCGTATGTAATGACCAACAACCATTTTTTTAAATTCTATTCACAATATTTTCAGATAAATTTCAAATGAACTAGAAAACACTCGAATCTATTAAAATATCGTAAAATTAAGCCATAGTTGTAATAAAAAAAAAACTAGATTTGTTTGTTATAGAATTAAATTTTTTGTTTAATCATAATTAACCTAGAAATTAACGTTAACGTGATGTGAAATACACAGAAAGAAACAATTCCACATGTCTTATCAGTAAATTCTTTAATAAAGTGAACTCAAACCAACCAAAGGTATATACATCTTTTATTTATTCAAAATTTATTTAAATTACTATTAATTTTATTCTTTTCTCGTACAATATCTACGTCAAACTACTTTCCACCAAATTTTAATTAAATTAGTTACAGATCACAGATCTCTTTACTCAGTTTAATCAGTGATCATTCATTCTAAGATTAGATCCTAGATAAGTTGGCACCTAGCCATCGATAAAACTCAAGGAGAAAAAACAATTATATCAACCAAGTTGCAAGGTTTTGATGAAAAGAATGAGAAAGTGACACACGAAACCAAGTGCAATGTCATACGCACATCATTTGGTCCAAAGAAAATAAATTTGGTGTTGCACATGCGCACTCAATGCTATGACTGTGCAAAACAATTCAATCAAAAGGATTCTCTCGAACTTTATTCCATTGTTTCCATTGTTTTACTGGATTCCAGCAAAAGATCAAAAGAGATGATCATCAAATGAAATGCAATCGTCGAATTTTCGAATGTCATCGTAGTGGCGAATCATGTGGAGGGAAAAAGTCCAATTTCTTACAGCACATACACGATTTAATTGGAAATCAAATTTAAACACACACCTCAAGCGCAACCACAAGAAGCATTGCCAATCAATTGTTTCAAATTAACATCGAAAAGGCAAAAGCAAAGTCTCTCGAATCTCAATCAAAATCAGAAAAATTCTAACCTCATTAAAAATCAAGCTCACAATAATGTTTCATTTGAATGAAACTGAAAAACCGAAAAATGTCATTTGCAATTGGGAAAAATTCAAATTTAAAATTTTCTTCATTGTTTATGCGATTTATTGACATATTTTTTCTTCTTCGTATTTAAAAGGCGTAAATGGTGGAATTTTCTTTTGGGTTAGTGGAACTTGTAATTCAACATCACCAACACTTTAGCGACATCTACTTTGCATCGTCTATTGAAATGAGATCAATGCGCATTCAAAAGAAAGAGACGCCACCAATATGTTGATATAAAACACACCGTTGTTGACTGCTACTGTCTCGTTTGCGCAATGCTGTGTATTGAACAACTACAACCTCACATCATTTCCATGAAAACGAGGCGACGTTCTTTTACTTGCGAACATTCAAAGGAGAAACACGTCACACAAGTTTGCTCATTTCTTCTTCGACGCCATTTTTTAATTAGCGAAAAAGTTCAAAATATTCCACATAAATTACAGTTTTTCATAGATTTGTACTCATTTTTTCGGCAAAAAACATTTACTGAAATCTTTTTGGAACTTGGTATTACTACAGTAAATTTGTTGAAACGACGTGAATTTTGATCGGTCATCGGTAAGTAACGCATCGTTTGCTTTATTATTACAAATTACAATTTCAATCCAAGAAAAGATATAGTTATTTTAGCTATAATAGGCATCAATTTTTCGAAAACTTAGTGACAACAAATCAATATTCACTTATCTAAATTAAAATTTATGAATGATTAATTGTTGGAAAGAATTAAATAGTTTTGGATTAAAAAAAGGTTTATGTAATATATTTTTGCGAAAAATATTCAATTTCTTGTCCTATTCTACTTTGTTACCCAGTTCTATTCTCTGAGGTCATGGATCATCCACAAACGAAGCAAAAGTTATCCCACCCAGTCGGTCGAGATGGCAGTGAAGATGCTGGCGCTGGTCCGTCAAATGTGGAATCGTCACCAAAAATATTCAAACTAAGCATTGATTGTATGGACGAAATATTTGAATATTTGTCGCTGAAAGATTTGCATTCATTTGGACAAACATGCAAGCGGATGAATAAAGTGGCCGGCGAATATTTCAAACAAAATTATTCATCGGTTCAAACATGGTTCAACAATGGCAATGGAATTCGAACGTATTATTCGGACAAAGATGGAGTCAGGTTTCAATGGATTAAAATATCGGGCTTCAGTCAATTCATACCAAGCATTTTAATTGTTGATGGCGATTTCAATTATATTCAATCTCGTGTAAGTGACTTTGAGTCAGTTGAACGCATTTCCATCGAACTTTCAATCATTGACATCGAAAGAATTAAGTTTATTCAACAATTGTTGGGCAAACTAGAAATGGTGGAACTCTTCCATTGTTCGATTGACGGTGATCTT